TTGCTAAACAAATAATAGACGAAAACGTTAAAGTTTACATTCATTTTAAAGCGTAGCCATTCAGCTTTCTAACAATGGGTTGTTTCTTAAATTTGACTAATTGGTTCGCGGCTAATAATACTTTACGTTATTGCGATTGGAGATTTAAAAAATATAAATATATATATATATATATATATATATATATATATATATATATATATATATATATATATATATATATATATATATATATATATATATATATATATATATATATATATATATATATACATATATATATATATATATATATATATATATATATATATATATATATATATATATATATATATATATATATATATATATATATATATATATATATATATATATATATATATATATATATATAAATATATATATATATATATATATATATATATAAATATACATATATATATATTATTATTATTATTATTATTATTAAAAATTTTATTTCAATACGGTGGTTACATCAAAATCATATACAGTTTTGTTCTACCTGTAAGCCGTATATTATAGTTTGCAATATATATTAATTTAATTAATTAATGATCAGCGGAAAAATGGATATTTTTTAAAAGATCTTTGAACCGCTTTAATGAACTCTCTTTTTTCAAAACTTCAGGAAGAGAGTTCCACACTTTTGCGCCGGAGTAAACAAAACTTCTCTTGTAATATTCAGTTCGAATTAGTGGAAGTTCGACATTCTCTGTTGAAGAACGAAGATCATAAAAATTGGCACCAGTTTCTGGTCTAAATAAACCTAAGAAACATGACGGTGCTTTATGGTTTAATATTTTATCCATCATCACTGCTTTGCATTTTTGTCTTCGTTCACTCAACTTCTCCCATCCTAATTCGTTTAATATATCACTGGACCTTCGCGAATAGTCGGCTCCAGTAATAATACGTGCTGCACGATTTTGAAGTTTTTGAAGCTTTAACGCCAAATAGTCACTGATGCCATCCCAAATTATACAACAGTAATCAAAATAAGGTTCTACAATAGCTCTATATACATTCATAAGATCGCACTTTTTCAAGACTTTTCTATTTCTACGTAGAAGACTAACGCCGATCGCTAATTTTTCAATTACATTATCTATGTGCTCAGCCCATGTGAGAAATTCGTCTATTGTCACTCCTAAGCACTTAGTACTCTTAACTTTACGTAGAGATATATCATTAAGGGAAAGTGTCAGATCACCCACAAGTGAATTTATTCTTTGTTTTGAACCAACAACCATATATTCAGTTTTCACTGTATTTAAAGTAAGTTTGTTGGCTATAAGCCAGGATTCTAAATGTTCCAGGTCTTTTTTCATCTGCCGTTGAAGTTCAGAAAAAACACATGCTGAGAATGATACGTTAGTATCATCTGCATACATTCGGGCAGTACCATGATTAACAGAAGTCGTCAAATCATTTATATAAATAAGAAATAATAAAGGACCTAGAACTAAACCTTGGGGAACTCCACTTTTGACCTGCACTTTACCAGATAAATAACCATTAACATAACATTGTTGAGTTCTATCAGTAAAATATGATTTAAACCAATGTAATGTTTTATCACAGATTCCAAGAAAACTTAATTTGGTTAATAATATATTATGATCAACAGTGTCAAATGCTTTTTTTAAATCTAAAAATAAGACACCATTGATCATACCTCTATCAATATTATAATACCACTGGTTAGTTAAATCCAGTAATGCAGTTACAGTTGAATGCAGTGACCTAAAACCGAATTGCCTTGAATTAATTAGATCAAATTTCATTAGATATGCATAAATCTGATTATAGACCAATCTCTCAAATAACGTAGAAACACCAAGCAAAACAGATATTGGTCTATAATTATTTGAGTCACTGCGTTCACCGGATTTAAAAATAGGAAAAACCTTTGCTGATTTCCACTCAATTGGAAAAACATTATGCTTAATGGATAAATTAAATAGGCTGGCAAGATGTCCATAAATACAAGGTGCTGCGATTTTTAATATCTTGTTCGAAATATTATCCAGACCAGTGGCCTTAGAAATGTCGAGCTTCTTCAATAATTTTAAAACTTCTTCAGGTTCTATTTCGACAAAAGCAAAAGACGAATTTGCTTTTTTTAAATATTTTGTCGGATCAACATTATAATCTGGAACTTCAGCAGCAAGCTTTGCTCCAATTTGTGAAAAATATTTATTAAAATGATTAGAAATATCGCATGCGTTTGTTAAAGTGTCGTTAACATTTGAAGGAATTTTAATTTCATTAATTTCAGTATTTTTGGATGGTTTGCCGATAAGACTATTTAACGTTTTCCAAGTGCCTTTTGAGTCGTCTTTAAACTCGTTTAATTTATTTTGATAATAACGACGTTTCGCAGTGATCACGTCTGAATTTGTTTTATTGCGAGCTTTCTTATAGTTGGTCCAATCGTCCGGCTTTCCAGTACGCTTAGCAATTTTCTTCAGCATATCTCTTTGATACAACTGAAATTTGATCGTATTGTTAATCCAAGGAACTGGTTTATTTCTTACACGTATAGTTCTTAGTGGCGCATGATTGTCGACAATTGATATAAATTTATCTTTCCAATTGTCCCATGCCTTGTCGACATCATCAAACATATCAGTCACAGGCCAATCAACTTTACTTAAATCTGTCTTAAACTTTTCCTCATTGAAATGCTTAAAACTACGAGTCGTGATAAACTTCGGTTTGTTTTTAGATATGCCAATTTTTCTGACGGCATAAATTAGACAATGATCGCTAATAGATAATGGATAAACGCCCGAATGAACAATAGTTTCTTTATTGGTCGTTATAAATATATCAATCAATGTAGACGACTCACTAGTGGTTCTCGTCGGCTCATCGATTAACTGCGACAATTGATATGTTTGAAAAATATCGCAAAGATGTCCCCGAGGGACATCAAGGATATTTAACATATTAGCGTTCACATCACCCATTACATACAGATCATCGAATTCTTGTTCCGCTTTATTTAAAAAGTCCTCAAAATCATTAAAATGCTCAAGAGAGCAATTTGGAGGACGATACCAAGCGGAAATAAGAAAATCTTTTGAATTCGGCTTTTTAAC